ATTGGTTATAAACAAACTATTTATTTCTATTTCATGGCTGTTTTTTTTATTTTATCACATCTTTTTTACAACTCCTTTACCTTGCCCGATGTATGTGTATTTGGATTTTGTTTCATTATTTTTTGATGTCTGTATAGTCAAGCATGTATATCTATGCGATTTTCTGCCGGAAATTTTCTGCAAGATCTTAATATTGTACGTTTCAGTTCCATGTTGTTCCATTATTTAGTTATGATGTAGAGGAGTTGATTTAAAAATCGCCTATGTTCTTGGGGGAAGGGGAGGGTGCGGTCAAAACCATACTTTGATGGAGTGATACGAAAGTTGCAAGGGTCTTTTTCACTTTCAAAAAAGATATTCTTAAAGTAGGGAGGGGGGACAAATGGTTAAGTTATTCATACTTCTGCCATTGTATGATGATAAAACACCTAATATACATCATTGTCTTTGCCACTAATCTTATGTGGGATCACATTGCTGTGAGTTTCTAGTTCAGGAGTGTCAATCTACCAAACAAATTGAAGAGTGAGTAACTGTAATTTATCTGGAATGGTCTACTGCAAGTATCAAACGCTGGGTAAAGGAATTCCAGCGTGGCTGAAGGTAACCTCCAGTAAGACAGCCATCAATTGCACCCAATATATTAATTGACACTATACAAAAACCAGTGATGGAGAACTTTTTAAGTATTACATTTTTTATGAGTAAGTTAAAGCTGCACTTTCAATGACAAACCGCATGTCCAATGTATGTGAAAGATTTGTATCGAGAATACTTTCGGATGACATAGTATAATTCGGTAAAACACCAATTAACTTTATTTTTATTTTTAGTTTACAACACGTGAGGAAACTTGGTTTTATCATAACGCTCCAGTGAATGGAAAGCCCCATGGAACAAAGCATTTCAAAGTCGCAAGGTCCACCAAGAGGGTCAGGGACCATTTTTATGCTCTCCGAAAATTTTTCGAGGGAGTATGGTCACCATCTTATTTAGGACAGTAAAAGACTGATTCCCATCGACTGCTTGCCCCATGGAACCACAATTGATGGGGGTATTGTGCAAACCCACCGAAGCAGGAGCGTCAATAATTCAAGAAGAAACGACGACTCTGGAAATTCCGCCGAGATGTTCTGCTTCACCAGACATGGCGCGCCAGTCCGCATCAGCCGAGTAGTGATGGAAACTGTACGTAAGTGTGTGGCTGTGATGTACTCCCTCAGCCACCCTGTTCTCTAGACCTCGCCTCCAGCGATTTCCACCTCTTTACCAGAGGCCAGGGGCCAGAGATTTGAGGATGATGGTGAGCTGTGTGCCGCTTGTTCTTTCTGTATGAGACTCAAAACTATTTCACGTGTCCTTGTATCCTGGTTTCCGAGAACAACATTCCCAAAAATATTACACCCACGTCTACGGTGTATTGTAATAAGTAGTAATATAATGTACACAGATGAAGGATATCATTCTACCTATAGCTATGTTGTCTAACTCTGTAAAACGTGAAATGATTTTAATAATTTTGGCTATGAACCAGCTCCAAAGTTATGCAACGTTTTCACACAGACTTTATTTACATGTGTAAGTCGTGATGCAAATTTCAAAAAATAAATAAATAAATAAATAAATAAATAAATAAAATAAACGAAATATGAGAGTAATTTCTCGAATAATATCGTTTACAGTGGCGATCGTGTGTTGAAAATGTACTCATTTCAGTTGCAATATTTGAAAAAAAAATCGATACATGTATCTGCAATAAGTTACACTGATTTCCGCATAATTAAATGTTTAATTGTTCTTGTAATTATAACATGGCAATTTTAATTAAAATTCAACAACCGAAACATTTAAAACTTCGGAAATGTGAGCATTATTCATTACTTATGATGGATGGTTAGGAGTGACAGCTAATAAGCCGGAAAACTGTCACTCTTAACCATCCATCACTATAAATGAATAAAAATCACATTTCCGAAGCAACATCTCACAAACACCTTGGCGTATTTCTTTCTAATAATGGGAGTTAGAATATTCACATTAACTATTTACAAAGGTTTCGCCAAAATTAAATATTTTTTCCGGAAATTTAAGTTTAGTGTAGACCGCTCTTGCCCTCAAACCTTATATTTCTCTCTAATTCGGTCATTATTAGAATACGGAAACATTATCTGGGACAATCTCACCCAAGCACAATTCGATCTTCTGGAAAATATTCAGTTAGAATTTGCACGCATTGTCACTGATGCAACAAGACTAACAAGTAGATCCAAACTCTATGCGGAAACTGGCTGGCTTCCACTTAATCCAATTTCACAAAATGGTTCATGGACTTATACACCCCAATACCTCCAAGATCTGCTTCCTGCATGTAACAATTTGACACACAGTCATAAAACTCGCACAGTCAATAACTTCCGCTCTATCTCCTGTCATACAAGCTTTTATAAAAAGTCTTTCTTGTCTTCTGTAAATTGTTCATGGAATATGCCGCCAAATCGTATAAAATGTGATCCATCAATAAGAAAACTTAAAAAACATGTAAACGAGCCTAGCATTAGAGTGCCGCCTTTATTATACTGGTAGTAGATTGGGTCAGATTCTCCACGCCAGACTACGAATGGAATGCAGTTCCCTCAAATTCTACTTGTTTAAAAAAAAGCCGCTAAGAGTCCACTATGTCTATGCAATGAAGGACACGAAACAAATTAACATTTTTTATTGTATTGTCGTCACTCGGACCAACTGCGCGTAGGTACGGTGAATTAACTTGCCAGATTTCAACGGACTTACTACTCTTTGGTAGCGAGGAACTGTCTGTAGATGACAACAAAATTACACCATAAGCTCCAAGAGATTTGAATGGTGCTTTTTTACTTTTGATTTGAATTTTGTAGTATTGCAATTAGACTTTTCACATTATCGCAGCAAATGCAGTTTATGTCTGTGTGCATTGGTTTTCTGAAATCTTATTCTTTTGACATGACGGAAACTCCTCTCCCTCCTCCTCAACCTACCCTATCCCTTTCTTTTTCAATTCTCCTCGTTCCTAATTAGCATAATAGCTGAGTCTAGACTGTTTACTCCTTGCCTCGTCAAAATTAAGGAGCTAATATCTTAAAGCGGATTAATATAAGTGTTTGAACACTTGTTTCCGTATCAAATTAAATTGATTTGTTTTGATGGCTACTGTACACTGTTTATATAATGATTGAATTGAATAAAGTTTTATATCAAACATTTAAAAATTGCATTATACTCAGTCTATAACAAAGAAATGAAAAAAATACTGAATGAAGGGAAATAACTCTAGTAAAGCTAAAGCTACACATGGACTATGGCAAAGAGCAGTATTTTAACGTACAGATAGTTTTCAAGAAAAACAAGTTTCGTGGTTTTCTTATTCTGGTCGTCATTATTTTTCGTAAACTTTAAAGAAATGTTTTCATTAATTTTCTTTTTATATAAAGATAAATGAAACCAGTTGAAATAATAGATCGCATGCTGCAGACTCTATCAAATAGAAATATTGTTCAGATATGAATAAGTCCAAATAAAACATACGATTCTTTTCAACGTTCTGTTTTCAAAAGTCCTTTTTCCTCACACTACTGAGTATTATGGCATTTGGGTCAATCAACTGTCAGTGGTAATTTGGTACATTCTTTGTATGAAATATCTAAGGCTGCATTCGCGTCATCCGGTTGAAACGGTTCAAGTGGTCTGGAATTATTCCACTATACGCGAACGCACGTGTACCGGATGCTGGATCTGAACAGTTTCGGAATATCCTGTCAAGCATAAATCAATTAACTAAAATTAAGAAACCATCCATTTCACTCATACTCTCAACCACAATGCTCCCGGAAATATGAAAGTCAATCGGCTCTACTTTTTATGATGAACTTCTGAAAACTAATGATATTCGAGAAATTAGTTTCGGACGGGTACGGCTTGACCCTACAAACTGCGCGTGCCAAATATTCTGCAGCCCAGCCTCGGTCCTGATCGGTACCTGGCATTTCTCTTGAAAGTTCAACCGTTTCAACCCCTTATATTACCTTACGACAAATCCGACAGTGATGTTTGACACAGTCATCTTACTGCGGAGTATGTCCGTCAGTCTTATTACACGAGAGCAACTTAAACACCGGATGAAAGCTGGTCGGATGAAGATCGGAGGCTTTATTAGAATATTATTACCTCAGATCAATTACATAAGTTGGTGTTTTAACCGTGGGACTTCGAGGTACTCAGATATCAGTGAGCCAGAGGTCCTGGGTTCGAATCCTAGCTGAGGTGTTTAAATAAAACTAGCTGTTCTTTGTTACTGTATTGGCGCCCATGTAGGGATTTGGGAATATTTCTTATCGTTACTTTCACAGGCATCGCTTTAACCGCAAGGAACCCATGGACGAGTTATTAGCCGTAGGGAGAGTATGTAACCCCTAGCAGCAATAGATTAGTAAGCCAGAGGTTCCAGGTTCGAATGCTAGATGAGGTAGCGAAATAAATATTGACATATGTGACTGATGAACATTGTTTTTCAGAAGTTTGTTGATTTATAAATACGTGATTTATATTAATATATAATTTTTAACTTACAATATAATGAAATAAGAACGAATGAAGTGATTACATTACTGTGTGTTTAATCACGGACTTATATACACATAAGTGTATATAAGTCCGTGGTTTAATAATGTGCGAGCTATTTTAACTGTATAAATTTTGTTTGAAATTATGCATCCTCGTTACTGCACAAACTGACGCTTCTAACCAAGAAATACGTTGTGTTACCTTTTCACAAAATGAGACATCAATTAAATTAAACAGTTGCTATGTTTTCTAGTTATTTCATAATAAAGTATTTCGTAACAAACATGTTAAAAGGTGTGTAACTTAGTGAGGCTGACGTATGTCACATGACCTAATTGCGAAATATATAGCGTGGTTATTGACCAATCCGCGCAGAGCAAACTATTAACTCCGAATCCAAATAAACACAGAATACTGAGGAGGAAAGTGGGCTGGTCTCCAATTTTGGAGATTTCGCTTCAAAATGGGGTTTGAAACATGTGGTCCGAACGAAGTGATGGTTGTTTCGGGTAAGTACAATATATTTCTTAATTACATTTCTTTTAAAATTGGGTTGCATCTACGATCTCGGTCAAATTCTAGTTCCGAGTCGTAACATCTTAGTCCGGAAGATTGATCCTAAAAATTATCATAAATATGATAATATCTATCATATTTCCAAGCTTTCGTTTGTTCTATAATTCTGTTCGATGTTTAAGAAAGCTTAGTGTTATGATAATGTTAGTATTGATAAAAGCTTATTACATTAAAATGCATTGGTTCTGCGGAAATATGACTACATCTCCGACCTCCGGCCGGATCGTTTGCAATTCCTGTACAAATGGCTGCAGCTGACCCCTTGGGACTGGGTAGCGTTCGCACGAAATGGGCACACATATTATCGAGTGCACAGACAAATGCACGCTCGTATCCCACGGACAATAGTTGCGAAACGAACTTTAACATTGTAGACGATCAAAGATGAAACGGTCGCCCGCCGTGAATGAGAAACATAATCACTCATGCGTGAGATAAATTGTTTGGGAGTTGGCTTCGGCCATGCCTAACATTCCTAGTATACATCTCTTCACATATGTGCTGAAATCTTTAAGAAAGTGGGCATTTCTGACTTTAGAAGAGATTACGTTAAGATCCTTCTGGTACATAGTGCAGATGTCGCCATATATATTTGATTAGAACTGGTGCACTTATCCTTTCAATCACTGGGCAGTTTGCTTTAAGGCTATGTGGAGTGATGTTTTTGTTTCTCAGTGGAGATCATGTTACATTGTACTACAATAAAGGCCTATATCAGAAACATTCCAGCATAAAAGCTGACAGTGAACAAATGAAGATCTACATGTAAGATTCCATTTCAGTGATAGACTCCTAGAATGATGGACGGATATCTCTGCCATGTTATGGATTAAGATTAAGCTGATGATGTTGCAATTACTGTAGATTAAGATTTTACAATATAGTGGTAGTAAATATCCAAACCTCAAATTCAATTTTTATCTATTTCGCAGTTAAGTTATGTTCCTTTTTATCTTTGTTTCCGCATAACTTTAAGTAACACAGATAACACTCACATGTTGATTTTTTCATTTCGTTGTTTGATTTAGATTTTGGAAAAAAAAATCTGATGTTTATATTGTTTTAATGATTATACAATTACTTAATAAAGGTTTAATGACCTTGGACCATGAACATATTAGGTGGTTAAGTTATTTAAGGCCATATAGATGGTTCACTGTTATAATATGACTTGTTGTTTTTCACAGGATGCTGCCATTCCAGGTCCCTGTTTATCCCTGGTGGGCGTGTCTTTGTATGGCCTGTTATACAACACTTACAAAGGTCAGTGTCACATCCTGCACCTGCCTCTTTTGTTATTATATATATATAGAATATAGGGTATATTCTGTAATATATTGAATTTCGGTAATTTATTGAATCACTCTTACAAATGCTCAATAGGATTCCTAAACTCATTATGAACATTTTGTAATGAAAAAGGTGGATATAAATAAGTATATGAATCTTGCATGAAATTACCAGTAAGGATTAAATTGAGCGATGAAGATTGATATTTGTAGACTACACAGATTGCAAGCATTATTTCCTTTGAATTATCAGATGATATGACTGATCATGACAAAATGAGTGTAAAATGACAGTGTATTTGTATAATGTTACACTACTGTATAGAATAGTAATAACAGCAGGGGTAGAAATTATGTCTAGGATAAAATGTTTTCTGATTCTAATTATAGTCAATAATTGATTTAACAGCGAGTGACATTCTGGCAAATTCCATGAAATGTGCCAGAACAGCATCTTGCTGTTATTTTGACCTTAATATAAAACATAAAATATTTCATCAAAATAAAATTACAAACAACATTTGAGGTAATAACTTATGTTGGTTACAGAGTAAATTCAGTAACAGTGTAAACATAGATGGCCAAAAGCAGTATTGTGACATCACATTACTATGGAACCTGTTACATTATTAGAATGTTTTTCTAGTTCTGTTGTCACAGAATAGCAAATGTTAAAAAACCTGTTAGAATGTGTCAACCACTTAACTATAATTTTTAGTCATTTTTGCTTATTAACATCCTTATGTTGAATACAAGAGTAAAAAAATGATAGAAAACAATGTTGTTTTTTAACATGAATTTACGTGTAATATGTATAAGTGCATTTTGTTTTATTGAATAATGTAAAACCTGACATATTGTGGCAAAGATATTTGATTTATGGTGTTAATACTTTATGTAGTATAAGTTGATATAGTTTCCAAGAATTGGGTTATTAAGATCAGATAGACTCTGTAGAATTTATTCATTACATATTTCTAGTCTTGTTATACACAATATGAGTAAACATGTAAATGGATAGGTAGATAAGAACATTTTTTTTTCAATTTTTAATAATTTTCAAATATTTTGCGATCATTTTATAGAGCTTTGCTTTGTTTTCTAAATTACTAGAAGTCATGAACATTTATCTTTAATAACAATTTTACATTTCGAAATTCCATTTGACTTTATTATGTGAGATTTTGATAAAATGAGTCAATTATGCTTGAATACAGGATGTTTATAATTGATGTTTTTCTGTCTCCTGAAATTGCTTAGAATGGCCCTGTGTACCTTGACCCTGGCAATAGAGAGCCCCATGGTATACACCAAAGAAGGTGTGGCCATATCAGTCACTGGTATTGCACAAGTAAGTGCAGTTAGCAGTTGTCTGCCCTTGGTTATCATCCCATTGTTAGACACTTGCTTACCTTTAGCATGAGTAGCAGCATATACAGCAGGGGTGTAAAAATCATGTCAAAATGAAATCCAGATTATATTATTAGACAGCCAGCTGGTGGCTATAGCTGGCAGATTTCATGTTTGGCCTTGTAAATATGAAGCCACTAGCGGTTTTGTATTATCATATAGAGTAATATTCATATTCAGCTGCCAACAAGATGACAAATCTATTTACACCTCTTCAGCTCCATAAATATTGTGTCAGTGTTTTATTTTTACAGTCTTATTTGAATTTGTTCCTTTATTTTAATTATAACTGATGTTTAGTTGTGTGGCAGTTTGATAATTTTGAACAGGTTTGGTGGTGTTTTTTTTTTTTCATTAATGAAAGAAATCTTATAATAAATCATATACCTGGAGATCAGTCCATTAGCCTTTTCAGTAAAAAACGCCACAACTCCTACTCAACATCAGCTTTTTGTTTCAGTTGCTGCATATATATCTTTTGTTTTGTGATTTCGGCAGTATTTGTTTTGATGTATATGGCTAAGTGTTGAGGGTTTATTTCAGACTGACCTTAAACACCATGGATATCCAGGTAGATAGTTCCAATGTATACACACAGCTCGGTGTAGCTATTTCTGTGACAGGAATCGCACAGGTAAGCCAGCTCTAGTTTAATTAATGAACTGCTATATTTACTCTCGAACGAGAAATCTAGAAATTTCATCAGTGCTCTCTTTTCAATTTTGCTTTCTCTTTTCTCTAGAAACTGAGATGTCCCATCTGTAATTAGATTTGAAACGGTATATGTTAGGGTATTTGAAATAAATTAGGTGAATTTAAAATAAAAAATACTTTTAAAAATACCCCTTTTAACAACTTTAAACCACAAACATTCATCTGCTTCCTTTGAAGTTACATTAAAAAGTACACAGTAGTTATCAATAAAACGGTATTGATACAGTAATTTGAAACAAATTTGTTGTTGTGTCTGAAATGCAGTCAGTGATATCGGTATTGCTGCTGTGTCCATATTGCTGCAAATTCAGCAGTTAGATATAATGGAGTTATATGTTATAGAAATTTGATAGATTGTGTTGGATTGGTATCCACTGAAACATTCATCTCTATGTACACCATACATAAACAAATACCAAGGGAACAGACCGTAGCCTAGAAACCACTACTGATAGTAAACCTGTGTAACTACTATTACTGTACGTTGTCTGACCTCTATAAAAGATCCTTACTGCTTGAATTACAAATAAACTAACACATAAACTACACAGTGTATCCCTTCATTGCTATCTGAATTGGCCCCAATAATACATAGTAGGTATAGACAGCTCAATGCATGTTTTTGGTTTTTAGCATTTCTATTTTTTACGTTGGTACCATTTCAGTTGACCTTTCTTTCTAGTTCTATATTAAGACTCTAAGGCATGTTATATATAAACCCTAGTTATGGCTGCCAGCATGTATATGTGTCCATATAATCTACACTAACGATTGCAAATCTCACCAAGAAAAAATTATATAGGTCTATATTATTACAGAACTTTTACCCAGTACTAACTAGAGTTGGAGTATTTTGTGTCCTGTAATCACATTTAGAGGCTGTGTAAGTTATGAGACATACATACTAGTTGAAAATGTGTGTGTCCTGATGTACATTTGTACACACACTCAGTACTTAGACTTACATTAATGTTTATATAACAGATTGTAAAAGGGACTGGAGATTAATCATTTACTATCTTATGCCCTAGTTGAAGTCTCTGACTGCCTCATAAAGACTTGTATAACTTCCTTTATTGACAAATAGAAAAGCTGAACTAATTTTGTATTGTTTAGGTACTAGTGTTGATATATGTATGATTATTTCATACAAAAAAAAAAAAAAAAAAGGAAGGAAGGAAGCCAAAGAGATTATTACCATGGATACAGGTTACTGTTAGACGCTTGATAAGGGGCAGGGTGATATTTGTAAAATGTACACAGAAATCAGTGTTGCTCCAGTAAATGTAGAAGTTCACATTCTGCATGTGCCAAAGGACTGCTGTCAATACAGTTATGTATATCAATGCCTGTGATGCTTTTTCTATAGAGCCTGCTTAGCTGAGAAATGCTGTCAAATGTAATATTGATCTGTTATTCAGTCATTAGGCTGTGTACAGTTTTTGCTATGTATTGCGGTACAAACTCGTTCGATACTCAGAAAGATGAAGCCTGCAATTGTATTCATAGAAAAAGAAGCTATTTTTTCAATAATAATGATTTGAAATGTTTTTATATCATTAAATAGTAGATGTGTATATTTTAACAGTCATATGTCACTGGAAGTGAGACTTCATTATGGGTACCTAAAGAGATACTGTAATGGTGCATCAGGGATGTGATTATCTTCTCTTAAACCAATCATTATCAGAAAGCTTACTGTATGAATCATCTGACAGTGGTTACAACTCTTGTTACTAGTTCACTAACTACTGTATTTTGCCTTAAAGTTATGTGGTTGTAGGATCTTCTTGGTTCCTAGTTGTGAGTATTTGCCTTCAAGAATGATTAATTAGAAAAAAACAAGAGAGCTATAATAGATGGCTTTTTCATATAAAATGACAGTTTAAGTTACAGGAAGTTATCATTGTCTCTCAGAGAGTGATTGAAGGCTCTCTTTCCAAGTGTAATTAGACGAGGGCTACTGAATCTGGATCAGAGAAATACGAGGGCCTACAAAAGGAACTGGTCATCTTGAATTTAGAGAGTCAAAGTTTAATAATGATACATTGTATTTTATAGAAAGTAAAGGAAGAATCTTTCTCATGTTTCAGATGTAAGTCCAAATGAATATAATGGTCACCATTTTTCCATATAAATTTTAGGACTGATTCGAAACCAAGATGGCTGTTTTGTCATTGAAAGGACCATGTTTATCAACACTGTTACCTTTACTCAGTAGTTTACAAACGGATTGATTCCAGATTTTATATGCATGTGTTTCTTGGCCTCATCATTTGGCATACTGATGTTATGAATTGATAAAAAGTGGACGAAAGATGGTCTTCTTTAACTTTTGAGTTTGTTACCAGATAAAATTTGCTATTTCTCAGAAACTAGTTCTATTGGGATCTTAAAATTTCATATATATATGAACTGAGAGTCGTTTGTGTTCTATGCTGTTAACGTTTACTACATGTATGTGATTGGAGTCATGACGACATCTAGCAAGAAATTTTGGAACTACTACTGTTTTCGTTCATGAAAATTTCATTAAGATATCTCACATTTGACTAATCAAAATGCTGTGTGTTAGGACACTGCAGTAGCCAGCTCCGGTCTGGACCAGAGAAATAATCATTATCTCAAGATTGAAATTGTCAATATGCCCATACTTTTTTAAAAATTATATCTACATTTTTTGATCACAGAAAAAAATGTCTGATAGAATTTTCACCAAGAAAATGAAGAGGAGAAAAAGAGCCATTTGCAAAGATCTATTGATTATGGGTATCAAGCTGCTTTAGGTATCTCTCGTATCAGAATCTAATATAAAAGTTGGTAATCACATCCCTGAATGTGTATGGGACCAAGTGTAGCAGTAACACAATCTCTTGTATAAATAATAGATGATACGTATTTTGAGTACACACATAAGTATAAAGGTGTAGAAATGTATTGCATTTTCTAGTCTATGTGTTTTTATTATACATGCTTTCAGGAATATATTTGTTAATGGTGACTCCTAACTTTGTAGGTAAAAATTCAGGGCTCCAGTAAAGACATGTTGGAGTCTGCCTGCGAACTTTTCTTGGGAAAGCCAGAATCTGAGATCCGTAAGGTGGCTCAGGAAACCCTAGAAGGTCACCAGAGAGCTATTATGGGAAATATGACTGTAGAGGTACTTACTCGTCAGCTTGTAAACTATCTAATTGTATCAGGACCTGTATATTGTTAATCACTTTGATTTAGTGAATAATTTATTTTGGGAACTTAGCTTTTCAGACATACTTGTGAATACATGATTTTGCGAATGCTGATCTAGAAGTGACTTAAAATTTGTAATTGGTGAGCTGCTCGAGCATAGATTCTGTGCTCAAGCAGACTGTTTAATAATTCGCCAAAATCATATAAAATAATACAAATGTCAAATATAAACATTGAATATAACTTTGACTGGAAGTCCTTTCAAACTTTTTTGAAAATTTCATGCTTGAGCATGAGAATGGTTTCATGAATACGGGCCCTGGATTCTGTAAGACTCTGATATCATTAACAGAATCAACATTGGTGCCATCCAGAGTTATTTACATACAAACAATAGAGAGAGGTTTTAACTCCTGATTGTTTCTCTTTGTGTATTTCGTGTACGAAAACAAATCCCTCTTGAAATATCAGTGATTTACAGTATACTTGTCAAATATTCAGCAGGTCTTACCTTAACCTAAGAACAGGGTATATTCAGGATCAAAATCCTGCCACTGAGCTTATTGTTTAATATTTGAAATGTTCAAAAAAGATTAAGAAGGAAGAAAGGTGAAAAGGAAAAAAAATAGCAATCATTTATATACCTTAGAATCGCAAAATATAAAAGGTTTATTTTGAAATTTTATCAGTGTATAAATAGACATTTACCTTTTTACCAGTATGTATTGTTCTTGGTTTTGGATCAAATTGCCACTATTTGCTTTTGGTAAATAGGAAATCTACAAGGACCGTAAGAAGTTCTCCAAAGCTGTGTTCGAGGTAGCTTCCTCTGACCTGGTCAACATGGGAATCTGTGTCGTGAGTTACACACTAAAGGACATTCGTGACGATGAGGTAAATACTACAGTGTCCCAGAGAAGACAATACTGTGAATAAAAGTGTATTCAGATCTCTCAGCAACACTTTCATGGTGTCATCACAGGACAGTCTGGATGTCCTGGGTGTCATCACAGGACAGTCAAGATTTCCGGGGTGTAACCACAGGCCAGTCTGGATGTCCGGGGTGTCATCACAAGACAGTCTGGATGTCCTGGGTGTCATCACAGGACAGTCTGGATGTCCTGGGTGTCATCACAGGGCAGTCAAGATGTCCTGGGTGTCATCACAGAACAGTCTGGATGTCCTGGGTGTCATCACAGGGCAGTCAAGATGTCCTGCTGGGTGTCATCACAGGACAGTCAAGATGTCCTGGGTGTCATCACAGGGCAGAAAAGATGTCCTGCTGGGTGTCATCACAGGACAGTCTGGATGTCCTGGGTGTCATCACAGGGCAGTCAAGATGTCCTGCTGGGTGTCATCACAGGACAGTCTGGATGTCCTGGGTGTCATCACAGGGCAGTCAAGATGTCCTGCTGGGTGTCATCACAGGACAGTCAAGATGTCCTGGGTGTTATCACAGGACAGTCCTGATGTCCTGGGTGTCATCACAGGGCAGTCAAGATGTCCTGGGTGTCATCACAGGACAGTCAAGATGTCCTGGGTGTCATCACAGGACAGTCTGGATGTCCTGGGTGTCATCACAGGACAGTCTGGATGTCCTGGGTGTCATCACAGGACAGTCTGGATGTCCTGGGTGTCATCACAGGACAGTCAAGATGTCCTGGGTGTCATCACAGGACAGTCAAGATGGCCTGGGTGTCATCTCAGTAGAGATCTGACTGTTTTTTTAGCTATGACTGATATATGAAAGTCAGATAATTTACATGGCCAAGGAATTCAAAATATGAATTTTTTTCTGTTTTTGGCATAGAAAAACTGTGAATTTTAAATGTCATATGCTTTATAAAAAATATGCATAGAACTGTCACAATATCAAACCCTCAAGAACAGATGGAAATACATAGTTAAAATTTGAATACACTATATGTTCAGATTCAATCTTAATAAAAAAGGAGCTGAAGGTCTTTAAAGATATTGTGACAGATCTAAGGCTGAGGCAATTTCACAACTCACTGCTCCTATATATTGTCAAAAATTATATCGAACAAGGATTCATACTGCATGTACACTGCCTTACTTTAGGAAATACTAAATGTGACATAGTCAACAAGCTATTGTGGTTGTTTTATTCATAACTTCATGATATTTCAGATAAAGCTGACAGCATTTCCAAACATTCACAATTCTCTTATTGGACTGATCATGTATTGATCTTAAAAGATGTTTGATATGATCGACAAAGTTTTGTTTATTGGTCTCTTTTTGAACTTGTGTGGAAAAAAAATCATTGATAATAACCAAATTACTGTGAAATAATGTAATGTATTGTTATATAAAGTCCATATTCTGAAGTAATTGTGTTTGATTGTGAAGCCAATGTTCTAGAGTAGAACTTGTCTTGTATACACCAATCTGACAAATATTTTCTCTTTCTGTGCTGGGTACGGTCTGAATATTCAATGAATGTCAGATCCATCGATACTTCATTTGAAACATCTTTGTTTACTATATAGCATCTACAGATTGTGTTGGACAAATATCCGTTTTCTGATTCTAATTGATCCAGTTTTCATGTTACTATGCAAATACAAGTGTAAATTTAAGTCAATATCTGCATCAATGTCATTGTCACAGCATTTCATTTTGGATTAGGAAAAAGGAAAGTCATAAAATTTCAATATTTATTGAAGTGGTCGAAATAGATATCTGTATTTGTGGCACATTTAGACACAAAACTTGTTTCTGATGTGGTGTTTTTACAAGACAGATTTCATATCTAGATTTTATTATTACAAGTTCATTTATGTGCATGTTTTTATATTTTTACTTTATTAATATTTTTGGATACACTGTTTTGTAGGACTCATGCTTACTCTGTTTTATATGACTCATTCATACACTGTTTTTATGACTCATTCATACAGTTTTGTATGACTCATGCTTATTCTATTTTGTATGACTCATACAGTTTTGTATGACTCATGCTTACTCAGTTTTGTATGACTCATTCATACAGTTTTGTATGACTCATACCTACTCGTTTTATATGACTCATACTTACTGTTTTGTATGACTCATTCATACACTGTTTTGTATGACTCATTCATACAGTTTTGTATGACTCATACCTACTCGTTTTATATGACTCATACTTACTGTTTTGTATGACTCATTCATACACTGTTTTGTATGACTCATTCATACAGTTTTGTATGACTCATGCTTACTGTTTTATATGACTCATACTTACTGTTTTGTATGACTCATTCATACACTGTTCTGTTTAACTCATTAATACATTGATTTGTAGGATTCATTCATACACTGTTTTGTATAACCTAATAGAAAATATCAAGACCGTACAGATTAATGCTGTGTTCAATCAGCTCAGCTCACTAAGATTTGTAAGATAGTATAAATTTGTGATACTGTACCTGAAAAGATATAGAAAGGATAAAAAGTTCACTTCTGATTTTCTACAAATTGTTTCATTATCATTTTCTCCACACAAAGTCCAGGGAAAATGAAAGTAAATAAATACTATTTCTTAAACATAGTGAATTATTGAAGCCATGATAAGGTAAGTGTGTAGCTCAGATCTGCCCTGGCAGTTACTTCTGACTTTTTGGCCTTTTTATTTCATTGATCCTTGTTTCATTGTTAATTTCTAAACTTGAAGTAATACATATGATAAAACGTGACATATGAAATATCAGTATTACTTGTTATTATAATGCTTGTATATGTGTTAGCATGCCATGTCATTTTTTCAGGGCTACCTAAGGTCATTGGGTATGAAGCGTACGTCTGAGGTAAAACGTGACGCCAGAATTGGAGAGGCAGAAGCGAGGAGAGATGCTGGTATTAAGGTGACTGATAACAAATAACTGTTACTTTATTACAGCTTAGGACAGGCCTGCAGAGTGAGAGATGAAAGGATTTACATGCTGGAAATCCACTATAAAAGATATGTGATCCTTTCCTTAAAATTAAGACATTTTTTTCTTAGGGTTACTTGAAGTCTTTGGGCATGGCCAGGACAGCCCAAGTTAAACGTGACGCTCGTATTGGTGAAGCCGAGGCGCGAAGAGATGCTGGAATCAAGGTGACAGATCACGCTGGTTCTAAATGGATGTTTACTATCAGTTCAACACTTGTCCGCTATATAAAGTTTTGCATGGTTGTTGTAGTCTGTTCCCATACATGGGCTTTATACTGTAGGACCCAGTATGTCTTCCTCTCTTGATAAATCTAGTCTGTTGTAATCTGCTGCTTGCTTTCCTTTGTATGGAAATGCGTGCAAAATCCAGTTTATTAGATATAGAAGCAAAGTTTAGAGAGGGTGAAGAATATAGTGTCAGAACAATTAAAATAGAAAATAAAACTAAAGTTCGAATTCATAGACATTTTCAGGAGGTGTTTTGATGTATGTGTTGTTTCTGCAGTGGTTTTCATCTTAGTTTTGTAAAACAAAACTATTTGATATATTTTAACGTTCAGCTTTTATGGATGCATATAGTCTTTGTACAAAATTAAATGCCCTTAATACAAACTTACTGTCCAAATCTTGTATGAATACATATGTAGTTCCTCCTTTTTTAAAATTTTTTTAGAAACTCCACAAATGTAGTCATAACACACAGAACCAGTGCCGTTGTGCTTCCTGTTCTATTCCTTCTACTTTCATGACAGTTATCTCCCTTCTGCTAATGTTACAAACCATTATTTTGTGGTCGGGTGGCGCAGTGGTAACGCACGCGCCTTTCACCTAGTTGTCTGGGGTTTGACTCCTGGAGAGGACGTGAAAAGGTAATGGTCACCTGCCGGACCATGTCGGTTTTCCCCAGGTACTCTGGTTTCCTCCCTTCACGCGTTAACATCCGGGCCAAGAAGAGTGATTAGTATAAGTTGAAATAACTTGTTTCGCAATTGTTGTGATAATAATTTATAATTTTAATAATAAAGTTTATAGTTTTTTTGTTTCATATAAATAAATATATTCATGCCTTTCATGAGGGATGAGGTGGTATTACATTTAATAAGTTGATGGCTTATACATTCAATTTTGGTATGAACAGGATTGAATGCTGTACAGCATAAAATGAATGGTGATATTTCATTGGATAAACAGCTTGATGTGAAATCTTTTTTTTTTTTAATTGAATTCCATTTAGAAAGAAAATTCATCTTTTCATCAATATTCCATGTTTACATTTTGCAAGTACAAGGATGGCTATATTAAATATTAAAACGTAATTAAATATTGCTTGATCTAAAAAGTCTGGAAGCTTTGTATGATAAATTGTTCTTAGCATGTAGATTATGATTGGGAGATCTGTTAACTTTTTAGACTTTGTCTCCATGTGTGCATTGCTATTGCTTATTTATGCATAGATAGAATTACTTCAATTTACAAACTTTTTGACGAGACAGTTAGAATGTACATTGTTGTAGCAAGCAGAAAATAGATAATGTTATTATAATGTAATACACATACGTAAATGGCATGTGATTTTGTAAAAGAATTCTACGAAGAACAGATACAAGCCTTAGTGTCAGAAATCAAGCTGTCTGTCTTACATCAGCTATTACATCATTATATTAGAGGAAGATGATGGAGACATACATACACCACTCCATAGGTCACAAAAGGCCTAATGGACTGGAAAGAAGCTGTAGGGTCTAAAGAAACAGATATTGTGTATTACTAGAGTTATTGTTGATCACAATGTCCAAATGTAAAGACTAGCCTCAGTATATCTCATTATTTAGAAGTTTTTTTAATATTGGTAGCTTTATTTCAAGTTCGATGACAGATTGGTATTCTGTTTCTATTAATTTTGAATCAATTTGGAGTAAATGTTATACACAGTTGCTTGGCAATGGCTAAGTGTTCTGGAGCTGCTATAGGTGACAGTAGTTATATATGACAAGTGTTGAACTGAAAAAAATGGTTTGTGTGTCTATGTACTGTATCTTTACTAACAATGTATTAACATAAGAGTGAAGCACTGATTAATTGTGTGACTAGTAATTGTGACATATACTGCTGATGTGTGTTTAAATCTGGAAACATTCCCCAGTTACTACTTTGTTTATCTGGAAACATTCCCCAGTTACATCTTTGTTTATCTAGAAACATTCCCCAGTTACATCTTTGTTTATCTGGAAACATTCCCTAATCACATCTTTGTTTCTTTGTTTATCTGGAAACTTTCCCTAATTACACCTTTGTTTATCTGGAAACATTACCCAGTTACATCTTTGTTTATCTGGAAACATTCCCCAGTTACATCTTTGTTTATCTGGAAACATTCCCCAGTTACATCTTTGTTTATCTGGAAACATTCCCCAGTTACATCTTTGTTTATCTGGAAACATTCCCTAATCACATCTTTGTTTATCTGGAAACATTCCCAAGTTACATCTTTGTTTATCTGGAAACATTCCATGTATGACGTTCCTCAAGTAGGTCTAATTCTGGTGACATTCCCCAGGTACATAGGTCTAATTCTGGTGACATTCCCCAGGTACATAGGTCTAATTCTGGTGGCATTCCCCAGGTACATAGGTCTAATTCTGGTGGCATTCCCCAGGTACATAGGTCTAATTCTGGTGGCATTCCCCAGTTACATAGGTCTAATTCTGGTGACATTCCCCAGTTACATAGGTCTAATTCTGGTGACATTCCCCAGGTACATAGGTCTAATTCTGGTGACCGTCCCCAGCTACATAGGTCTAATTCTGGTGACATTCCCCAGCTACATAGGTCTAATTCTGGTGACATTCCCCAGGTACATAGGTCTAATTCTGGTGACATTCCCCAGCTACATAGGTCTAATTCTGGTGACCGTCCCCAGTTACATAGGTCTAATTCTGGTGACATTCCCCAGGTACATAGGTCTAATTCTGGTGACATTCATCTAATTCTGGTTCCCCAGCTACATAGGTCTAATTCTGGTGGCATTCCCCAGGTACATAGGTCTAATTCTGGTAGGTCTAATTCTTTCCCAGGTACATAGGTCTAATTCTGGTGGCATTCCCCAGTTACATAGGTCTAATTCTGGTGGCATTCCCCAGTTACATAGGTCTAATTCTGGTGACATTCCCCAGCTACATAGGTCTAATTCTGGTGACATTCCCCAGGTACATAGGTCTAATTCTGGTGACATTCCCCAGGTACATAGGTCTAATTCTGGTGACATTCCCCAGTTACATAGGTCTAATTCTGGTGACATTTCCCAGCTACATAGGTCTAATTCTGGTGACATTCCCCAGCTACATAGGTCTAATTCTGGTGACATTCCCCAGGTACATAGGTCTAATTCTGGTGACATTCCCCAGCTACATAGGTCTAATTCTGGTGACATTCCCCAGCTACATAGGTCTAATTCTGGTGACATTCCCCAGCTACATAGGTCTAATTCTGGTGACATTCCCCAGGTACATAGGTCTAATTCTGGTGACATTCCCCAGCTACATAGGTCTAATTCTGGTGACATTCCCCAGGTACATAGGTCTAATTCTGGTGACATTCCCCAGGTACATAGGTCTAATTCTGGTGACATTCCCCAGCTACATAGGTCTAATTCTGGTGACATTCCCCAGGTACATAGGTCTAATTCTGGTGACATTCCCCAGGTACATAGGTCTAATTCTGGTGACATTCCCCAGGTACATAGGTCTAATTCTGGTGGCATTCCCCAGGTACATAGGTCTAATTCTGGTGACATTCCCCAGGTACATAGGTCTAATTCTGGTGGCATTCCCCAGGTACATAGGTCTAATTCTGGTGGCATTCCCCAGGTACATAGGTCTAATTCTGGTGACATTCCCCAGGTACATAGGTCTAATTCTGGTGACATTCCCCAGCTACATAGGTCTAATTCTGGTGACATTCCCCAGCTACATAGGTCTAATTCTGGTGACCGTCCCCAGCTACATAGGTCTAATTCTGATAACACTCCAAGGTTACATGCATTAAAGATTTGGCGACATCCCCTAGTTACATGTGACCTTCTAATTATATATCCTGGATTTGTACATCTTTGAGCAAGCTACACCTGTATGTAGTTATGGTTCCCAGGTATATTTTTAGGTCTTGTTTTTTTTCTTTTTCATGTGTTCCAGCTTCTGACATACCTAGCTCTTCATATTTATCTTTGCTTATCCTAGTTACTAGTTTCCCATTTAAATGTTGTCTGTAATCAAAATGTCTTTCTGAGTCTTCATCACTTTACTAATCATTTTAACTGTATAGAAAATCATCATCATATCTTATCATATCATACCTTCTTGTTAAATTTTGAGTTATGTATAGCATCAAGGGTTTTTATATTTAAATGTAAGTTGTTGGTATCTTTAGGAAAATATCTTATAATCTCAGAATACCATTGCAAGAACATCCAGATCCTTGACAGAACAAAACTGTGGAAAGGAAAGGGAAAAAACTGTTTATAAGCCTGCTTTAGGAGAGAAGAAATAATTGTGACAAATATCATTTTCAGTGTTGCTGGTTGTCCATCTGTTTTTTTCCTTGCTGACTACAAATTTTTGTATTAAAAAACATCAGTATTCTAGCTTATGTGAAGTCATTATAGGATCAATAACTATGTCAGTTTGTAAATAGAAACATTGAAAAATAGAGTACATTTTCAAATTTATGCTCAATTTTATATAATGATGAATAAAAGTTTACATATTCAATGCTTGCAAAGTCATTTTGGATTGAATTCTGCCTGCTGATATGTCTTGCCTGTATAGAGAGCCGCTTTGTGCTCAGAAGTCTCTGTATTTTCTATGGTGATAATCTACCCGTGCCTGTTTCTGGTTGTCTTATTTGACTTTTTATTTCCTGGCATTTGAAGCATAGCATTATATATGTATTAGATATTTTTTTGTTGTATTCAGAACAAAATGATCAATATACTGTTATCAGAATATTTAATGCCATATTGATTTAATTATTTCATTAATCAAAGTGAAAATGTTCTCTCAGATCTGTCAACAGTGTAAATGAATATTGTTAAGAAGTAAATGACCTTGAAAATGATAATTTTGACTACCAGATTCCTATACAATGTCCTGTGACTTTGTTAAATGGTTGTAATATACTCGATGTCTTTACATCAACTCTACAGGAAGCTATGGCTGAGGAGCGCAGAATGGCTGCCAGATACGCAAACGATGTTGAGATTGCTAAGGCCAAACGTGACTTTGAGCTGAAGCAGGCTGCCTACAACATGGAGATTCAGACCACCAAGGCCCAGTCTGATCTTGCTTATGACTTACAGGTAGGTGATTAGACTTTACAGATAAATGGTGTTACAAGGTAGGTGGTATAAGATGTGTGACCAGTTTACAGGTTAATCAACATTAGTATTTTCATGCTTGCTGTATATTCTAAAACATAAGAGATAATACTGATATTCAGATGAGGGTTTGATATAGCCAGGGCAAAGTAAGGAAATATTCACATTGATGCCTTTGGAAGAGAACATGAGAAATACGATCGTGTGTTCCCTGAATTGTTCCAGTCTTTGATCATATCATTAATCTGAAGTATAGGTTGTAATCTTTATTTATCAGTTCAGTCATTTTGTGTTTACTCAGGCTGCTAAGACAAAGCAGAGAATCAAGAACGAACAGATGCAGGTCAAAGTTGTGGAGAGGACCCAACAGATTCAGCTGCAGGACCAGGAAATCTTGCGTCGTGAACGTGAACTTGAGGCCCAGGTACGCAAACCTGCTGAGGCCGAGAGGTACAGACTGGAGAAAATCGCTGAGGCTGACAGGTGAGGCATATATTTACCATCCTTCTTCTACCTGTTTCTGAATCAAATATTTGTTCTCAGCTGTTTTAGTAGTTCAGGTACTTATGGTAATATGTTACAGATAAAAAATTGATTGGGAGATCAAATATTGATTGGCAACTCTAACATGCTTTAATGAAGTATGTGTTGATCGAAAGTTGTCATAGCTAGTAGTGTTAATCGAATCACACACGAAACAAAGAAGCTGTTAATGTAAAAGCTCACCATTTAGGTGTTGTTAAATCCCTTTTTCAGTGTATTGTATGTTAATTATGGAATGGTACCTTGATTTCATCATAACACAAGATGCAAGATCTTAGTTTTTCCCCCAAAAATATTTTCATCTTTAGTGAAATTAGATTATTGCAAATTTTGTATTATCATCATGATCATTTAATTAAACCTTAGTTAATTGTATTTAACTAATTTTACATCAGGATCAAGATCACCCTCGAGGCTGAGGCAGAGGCTGAATCAATCAGGGTAAGTCATCATCACTAAGGTGTATCATTTACTTAGAGAAAATAATCACTTAATGATTTTAGGGTTTTCTTGTTTTTATTTAAGCTTTTTTTAAAGACTGTCAATTGTGCAAATGATGTACAGTAATTTGAAAATGTCATTATTCACTATTTTAAAACACTTTAATGATAAACAAGAGAAATTTACATAAGTTTTCCACAAATAGAATGAGAAATTATGTAGAATGACCTGAATGGTTTTAACAGGTGAAGGGTGAGGCTGAAGCTTTCGCTATTGAAGCCCGTGCCAAGGCTGAGGCAGAACAGATGGCCAAGAAGGCTGATGCCTGGAAGGACTACCAGGACTCTGCCATGATTGACATGATCCTGGAGACTATGCCCAAGGTAAGATACGAGTTGTATAAATCTCTGTAGGTTGGACGGGTATATAAATTGCTAGGTAGGAATTTCATACATATCTTAGATATAACATGAATGGGATGAGCACTATGATAATTACATCTAGATTGCAATAGTACACCTGAGGATGACTGAAACAGCAACAAGAGTAGAAGATGTACATTGTGGATGTAGCATTCATAGCAGGTAAACAGACCATTACAAGGCTGGATCTTATATGTCAGCTTTAAAGGCCTTAAAATGTTAATTAAATTACGAAATAAGAATTTACCAACAGCTTGCTTCTGAAATATTGAATAAATGACAAATTGTGTTTGCCAACAGCTTGCTGCTGAAGTAGCCGCTCCTCTAACCAACACCAAGAAGGTGACAATGGTTTCCAGCGGTAAGGGAGATATTGGTGCCTCTAAGCTGACTGGAGAGGTTCTTACCATCATGGAGAAACTTCCATTGGTAGTGGAGAATTTGACTGGCATCAGTATCTCAAAGGTATCTATTCTGGTAGTAGCATCATAACAAAGAACAGAAGCAATTCTGTAGCTACTTTTTCTTAATTTTGCTAAAACACATATAAAAATATCTATAAGTCATTTTGATCCGAGATTGTATGAAAATGAGTTTAATTTGATATCAGCTGTTGAGTATTGTGTGTCTGTTTTGAAATCTTTATGTAATACTTAATCTCCTGAGGAACTTCAATGTCAGTTTTTCTTATTGAGTGTATATTTCTCAAGTCTTCTTCATTCTTCATGTATTGTATATAACATAACACTACGTGACCTCTTGTTTGAAAATCACATTTCTAATCCCATATTAGAAGGCCCTAAAACAATTTTCTTTATGGATTATCAGCATCTTGTTAGTCTGAAATGTTACCATCTCTGTAATAATCAAAGTATTTCAAGCAGCTCTAACTAAATTTTATATTTTCTTTTTAGAACATCAAAGCTGCAACCCGTCGATAGATGGAGGATGACTTCCCCACGTTTTGCTTTAGTAACATTAATCAACTAGAGATGTGCGGGTCCTAATGTTCATGAGACACAGGTCTCTGTACACGTACTCAAACAAATGACTGATGTGCAAGTTATCACATGTGCATCTCTGTACATATGTAGATTTTATATCTGTGAAGTCAAAACAAAACTTACATTTCTTTAATCCTGTCAGCTGCGATTGTGTTGTCCATGGTAACGTTGTATACTAGTTACGGTAATGCCGTCAGTAAATATGTTATACACAGGTAAGTGACAGCTCATTAAGAACAGGTAGCAAGCAGTACATAATTATAATTTGATTGACAGAAATGATTAAACACATGAGTGTTGCCATGGACACTTGTGTAAGTACTGAGTGTTTCAACTCGCGTGTTTCCTCGCAGGTACATGTGATTTTTAGAAAGACATGCAACGTGCTCAAAAGTTTAACAACTATAGTGTTTTGTTAAAGATATATACAACTGACCCCTGATTGTAATGCATACCCTAATTCATCTCCATTTAGGATCCTCATCAATTCATCAGATAAACGTGCTGTTTTAAACTGCTTGTAGCCTGTCTGATGAGTACGTTGCCTACATTCTCCCTTTTGTGTATCCATCGTTACCGCCGGCAGTTATTTGTGTTACACATGGACAGCCAATCGTATAGAACGGTAGCTATTTATGTGTATAACTGTGGCCCAATACTCATATCACCTTAATCAGGATCTTGACGGGTGTACCCAAGCAATGTGTAGATCTGCAATCATAGAGAGACTTAATCCACTTGCAAAAATATCTGTTATCCTACATGCCTAATTCAGCTATCAAATTTGATTACCTATTTCCGTTTATATATAACTATACTTCTTGTCCGTCTTATTACCCAGTTATTTAAGCAGTGTTGAAGCTGTTGATCTGATCAGCAGTGGTTTTGAGCTTTGTTGTTTTCTACAACAGCATTGGTAGGACGAGTAACAGACCACTGAATCTTTCGCAGTTTTAAAATGTTTTGAGTGAAGAAAATGAAAACATTAAAAGAAAGTGTATCACCGTTATTGTTTGCCGGGAAATTCTATTGAGTATTTGTTCTGAGCAATAGAAGTCATGTTCGAGACTACCCAAGCTGTTCATAAATCATTTCTGCTACACAGATTTACACGTTTATTGTTAATATGGTCAAAATGGATTTGTTTTATTCTTTTTTTTTCAAGATTGCAGTTATGACAGAATTTAAATTGTGTCTTAAAGAGCTGAGTCCGTGGAGATGAGTTGAAATCATCACACTCGAGCCATTCCTTTTTAAAAGACATAACAGTATGAATGTATGTTTTGATACTGGACATTCAGTACTTATCTCATGAATATGATTTTAATTTACAACATAACAAACTATTTACTCAAGTGGAACCATCTTGTGTTACTGATATAGATCATACTTATTTAAAATAATATTTAGCATAATAAGGAGTCAAGTAAGAGACTACTGGACAGGGGAAAAAAATTCATTTTGACCATAGAAGCATATCAGGTGTAGAGATTTGCCCGTGGATTTCGTCTCACTAGCCACTCAATCAGGGGTCATTTGAATATGTGATCATTCATCTATGGAATTAAATAAATTGCTTTTTCACTCCTTGATCAATTAATTCTCCTTGCATATCTTGTTTTAAGTGTATTTAGCAATTTATTCAGTATTTATTAAGTTTACTTCAGTTCAAAATATCCAAATGGTCAATTTCGGAAATATTCCCAATTAATATTATAAAGATGTATTATTGTAGATAAAAGTCTTGTACAAAACGCAATACTTAAGATATACCTTTTATCATTTTAATCCCCATCATTTTACCTCATCGTGAGATTGTTGTTTTCTTTGTAGATTGTGGTATATAGTATATATGTAGGCCTTTTGACTTCCACAAGCCTCTGAAGACGGAGATAGGAGAGGGTTGTGTAAGGCAGAAGGAATTGTTTTTAACTTTGTGCCCTATTGACTGTTAAAACTAAGAGATTTTGAAAGGATTGTTACAAATACACCCTAGCTATTATTACCCAGTACATTAGAAAGATTTAGAAAATAATGATTAAGTGAAAGATTGCTTTAGAAATCTTAACATTTGAAATAGCCAGTTTTCACAATTCATCCAAAAATAGTCTTTTATTATGATAAGTATCCTACTTCTGGAAGAAAGCTTACAGACAGTGTGTTGGTGTAGGAAGGATTGGCTGTGTTTAAGGATGGTATGTTTATTCTCTCTCAGGGTCACTTCTTATTAAACTTATAATTTGTAGGGCATTTTGTAACAATGTTAACGGTCATGTAGTACTGAATAATCAACAAAGGCTGATCTATGCCTTTCAGTTTCCCGATTTTAGATTTTCACCATATTCATCCAACATTTTTATTTGCAAAAGCAAGTTTGCCTCTAGTGAAAGATTTTTAGCAATCATCAGAAACACTCCATTTGAAAGACCATGAAACTGCACCTGGTTATTGTTAAATATTTTGTTTGAGATCATTATTGAATGCTGATGACTAAAGTCAATGCTTCAATCCAAATTGGACCATTCTACTGATGATGAGGCCTTAATTCTTTAAAACACTTGTGATCTCGAGTGATATGAAACAGTATCTCTTCAGCTATAACATGTCCACTGACTTGTTGCATGTTTGTGATGTTGTAGTTATCTTAATCATATCTTTGTATCAACTACCATTTGTAATCTTTGGAATATAATAAAAAAAAAATGTTGTATTTACATTTGTTTGTGTTTAATTATCAGTAATACAAGTGGTGTGACCCCTCTAACTTTGCCAGGTCCTGTACTGGTACTAGGAGTTATTTTTACTGTCCATTCAGTTGTTAATTTTCCAAACAAGTATTCATTTGGCTAGCACTGTATCTTTGTTAGAATGAACTATGGATTGATCACAGTATTTCTCTATGGTTTGCAGTGGAACATGTACTTTGCTATATATTGGACATTTTCACCCTCCAGGGCCCCAAGGACAAATTCAATAAGGAATCTAATGCCATTTTTATATATAAGGAGTGCAATCTACAACAGAAATGGTAGTATAAAGCACATGATTTAACCCTTTCGGTGCCAAATATTTCTCACAATGTACAGCTCAGTGCCTAATATTTTCTGGAAAATATCCAAAAACAATGGCAAAAATTGTTGACTAAAGTTGCCTACGGCGTCCTGTCTGCATGTCAACTTCAGTCGTCTACAGCGCCGAAAGGGTTAAGGATAATTAAGCAGAAGTAGGACATAGCTCTTATAAAATTAATTCAACAAAATATCTTGGGTCTTTTGTGTTTTTATAAAAACAGAAAAATAGACTTACTTCAAAAAGATTGCTGTAAAAATATATATATAAAAAGAAAAAAAGGCTGTTATTCAGAAAGAAAAGAAAAAAAGAATATATAAGTAAGGTAAAAATGGACGTTTTTCTTCTACACACATACTTCTGTGGTAGGAAAAGATATGCAGCAAGATATTGATTTTTAGCTGTTAGATTACTTCTAAATTCAGACCTTTTAAAAAGAATTAAAAACAGATCAAAAGTTTAATACTTGAAATTTTACTTTTCACAGGGGTACATTCTTCACTTCAGCTAAGATCATGAATGAAGCATCATACATATCCTTCGTTAAGTCCATGTCTGGTAACAATTCTATCTACAATACAAATTGTCTACTAAAGTCATTCCATTGCCCTGTAATTTGCCAGCCACCTGTCTTAACAAGTAAGATGTTGCCCTCCCATCCCCAGGGTTAGTGCAGCATAAAAACTGTCTTCAAATCACCATTAGTGATAAGATATCTTAAACTTTATACAATTAATTTGGAAAGGGTATTGGAGAACATGCTTACATGGTATTAAAGTGCTTGTTGTGTGTTATATGTAGCAAAAAGCTTGTGTACAAATATCACACCAACCCCTGTAGATTGTTTATGTTTAAAATAATTGGAGCACCATTTGTATGGTCACATGATGAGTGATGCAAGTCAAATGGTTTCCTATTTGACACATTCTAGAAAACAATATCTCTCTCTTGTAAGTCCAGGTGTAATTTCTTTGTAAAGTTTTAAAGGGTTGATAACATTAATGTATCAGGAAGTTTACACAGATTCTACCTGGTAGGTGACTGTGTATACCTTATGTACCCTTGTTAACAGATACACATCAGAATTATTGAACTAATGCCATGGGGTTACATTCCGTTAAACGTCTAAGGAAAGATTGAAGTTCAAACATCCTTGGGTAAAAATATGACAATAAAAAGACTAACATTTGAAAAACAGTTTTAATATATATATAAATTTGTAAAAATATACTGTGTAGAATATGCCTGTACAAAATTTAATAAAATAAAATGAAAAACAGTGTAAATATATAGCAAAAGCACCAAATATGAAGTTACTGTATGCACTGTAACGGTTGTACATTGGGACGTTTTTACAGCTAAAAATTTAAAGGGATAAACAATTCCTGGTACAATTGTAAGTTCTTGAGCTGTAGTTAAAGTTGCCTTGTAGTCATGAGGTGTGCCGTGACTTGAATCCAAGTCCCTGTTTGCCTATTGGTCGCCCACTATTAACATTGATTCCATTGTAGGTTTTGTAATGTTTGGGTTTTACATCTGGTGCTACCATTATTGGGGCTTCGGGTTTTTCAGCAATCTTGTAGAAATGAGGATCCTTTGAGACTTGTAAAAAGAAGTCCATATTTTCTTTAGCTTTGCTGGGAGACACAACTGGCTGTACCAGACTGAGTGCATCATTTCTGTTAAACCACTTGGATTGAGGTTTTGGAGGACTTGACTGCTGAAAATGACCCAGATTGCCTTGTGCTACTGACTGAAATCGAATACGATGAGAGGTTTCAGATGATGACTGTTGAGTCCTCATTTTGGCATGGTGATGGGGCCTGTCTTTGGAAGGACCAGATGTGTCATTGTGCTGAATGGGAGGATTTGGACTAGACACAAGCTTATCTCTTGGTGATGTTTCCTCCTCATCTGTATCTTCCTCACTGTCCTTGTCATTCTTCTGGGGCAAATGAAAGAAGCTGGTGTCCCTTGCTACAGATCGGAAGAATTCCAAATTTTGGTGGGCTACCTCTCTGCTAACATAATTACTTGGGTCATCAGGAATGTACCCTGGACTTCTGCCATATTTTGATTTGACAACATTTAAGTCTGTTGTCTCGGCCTCTTCATAAAACTCTGGACATTTCGCTACCGTTTTGAAGAAGAGTAAGTTGCCATCAGCTGTTTCAGCATCAAGTGTATGTTCTTCAGACTGGGTTCTAGCAAAGGATCTTGCTATATTTTCCTCTTCTGTCCTTAGCACTTGGCTGTTGTTCTGAGTAGCTCGTGACACACATCTAAAGAAGTCAAGATTTTCTTCCTTTTTGATGTGATAGCGATCAGTTAGGCTCGGTGCGTAGGAGGGTTCTTTGAAAGTTTGTGTGTCTTCATATTGGTTTGGTGTGTCAGTTGATTGCCAGAATCTTGGATCTGTGGATACTTCATTCATGTCACTTTCAGTAGGAGGAGAATGATGATGTTGAGTTTGGTCTGAATCAACTTCTGCCCTGCAAATTTGCCTCAACTTGTCCCTCAGGTCTGACAATGACTCTGGACTGTTGTTTTCAAGCATCTCGGATTGCTCCATGCTTTCATATCCTGTCTCGTCAAATGTGACATCACTCCTATGAGAACGTTCATCACAATAAGCTTTGATAGGAGACATTAGTTGGTCCTCAGATGCATTTGGGAAAATATTACCAAAGGGTGTTTTGATGAACAAATCTTCTGAAACCGCTTCAGGCACCAACTTGTCTGCATTTAATTCTTTCCAAAACTGAGCACCTGGAAGATTCTTTTCTGGGGCACGGAAGGTGACTTGGAGTTTTTCATAATGTGCTCTCTGTTTTCTGCTCAAATTTGCCAGCATCATTTTGGCTGTTGAATTGGTTGTACTTTGCTCATTACCAACTGATGGAGGAGATGCATCCTGGCCCTGTACACTCTTTGCCTGGTCAACAGTAGCTTTCACCTTGGGCCTGAAGTGACCTTTAGGCCAAGTTACCTCTTCCCAGGTCTGATCTGGGATCAACCTCATTTCCACTTCAGCTTTTATATCATTGAGGAGGCCATCCAGTTCAGGAGATGTTCTGTTTTGTATGGCATCAACTTTTCTCTGTTTACCTAATGGCATGATATTCTCTGTTCCACTGTCCAGTTCTTTATCAACACCTGAAATCAAAAGGTCACAGTGAGTACCAATTAACACTGCATTGAACTTCAATAGTAACAACCATAACATTACTACCATATATATTTGCGGTATATTATATTCACGCTATCTGAATCACATCAATTCATGAAATTCATGAAATATTCCACTGGGGAAAGCCTCTTTGTAAGCCGTATCCAAATGTCAACAAATTGTGAACTGTCATCATAATGTTAATATAAGTATCATCTTCATCTATGCACTTCAGGTAAGTTAATTGGTTGCATTTAATTTTGTCAAAGTTATTATTTTTCACTGTCCATATAACATCAGGAAGCCAAACAGTGTTTACTTTTTGTTTTAAGGTGTGCAGCATATATGTATCGATACACATAGAAAATGTATCAAGTAATCTTCAATTCCTTATCAACTTTGAAAATGATTTATAAAAAAAAAATAAAAACTTTCTGTGATCTCTACTGGGGTTAAGGAGTTTACCTGAGGTAAGATTGCTGTGATAAGGTATCCTTGCACTTGATGATGTAGTCAAATTCTCCTTCTGTACATTACACACCGGGGGCAGGTTCATTTTATCCACCTGTTATATAACAGGAAAAGTTACAGTATATTAGAAATTTAACAAGTATTTAATATAACAAGGATGAATACAGCATGTAGCAAAAGTCTTGCTTTAAAATGCCATATGAATAAAAAATATATGTAACAAACTTAGTTATAAAATTGTGCCATATATAAAACAGTGCAATTTCCTTCCATTGTCTCACCTAAAATATTGTATATATTAAACATCTTTTTAGCCAGATTATGAGTGAAAGGATCTGGAAAAAATATTCAACCAAATTTTGGGTAAATTGATAGTCAATTTAGATGTTTTAATATTTTCCATGTACAAAGATTTTGATAACAAATCAAATCAGGTAAAACCTGTCTATGACCCTTGACCCTTTAACCTTGACTGATGTACACCAAAATCTAATCAGGTGTAGAACTTGATAGTGTGATACAACTGCTGAGGGGTTCATGGGATATCTTATATACAAGTTTTGTGCTACAGACATGTGCACACTGAGTGATCACTATACAACAAAAGGTCATCTGGGACTGTATCACAGTTCTGTACTGCATGAAGAGGAGGCTTGGTGGGATGAGTATACTCTGAAAACTTTCATATTTCTTCTATACCAGTAGGTTCAAATGAAATAATATTACCCTGGGTCTGTCAGTTATTCAAATGGAGTGGCTTTAAGATTTTTATGATTTGATCCCTGTGACCTTGATGAAAGGGCAAGGACATTCATTTGAACAAGCCTGATTGCACTTTATCCATGTATGCTATTGGCAAAATCATTGAGTCTAGGCCTTCTGGTAATGAAGTAAACGTTGTCTGAATACCTTGAGAATAGGTCAAGGTTATTTATTTGAACAAAAATGAAAGCCTTCCTCCTAGCATATTATTGGAGCAATACCAAGTATGTAAAGCAAGGGCTTCTAAGTTATTAAGAAGTCAATGGCAGATTTTTGAAATATCAAATCTTTGTGACGATGAAAGTATGTCAAGGTCATTTATCAAAACAACCTTGGTAGCCCTTTATTCCAGCATTCGCTTAATATCATGATCCTGGCCTCTTGATTATTAAGAAGACATGTCTTATAGGATGTTGATACTGGATGGATGGACACCACACAGCAACATAAACTCATTTGCCAAGTTGCCACACTAGCAGGTGAGATCAAAAGCTTTTCACAATCTATTTAACAGGCCTTTAAACTGATTGTGTTACCTTAAATACATTAGGAGCCAGTTCCTCCCTGGGACCAGGAACAGGATATTTGATACTGTTTTCTTGTCCTGTATCGACATAGAAATTCCTGTCTTTGTTATCTTCAGTTAGAGCAGAGTCACCATAATCTTGCTCTGCCTGACCATCTAATTCATCAGACTCTGCTGTCTCATCTTCTTCCTGGATGGAGTGAGGGATACTCATGTTTGATGTACTCCACAGTGATCTTGATTCAGGTCGATTGGTGCTGTAATAAAGTTTTTTCAGTTATCTTCTAAAACATTCTTTACTAACAATAATTGTTCACACAGACCTTAAATAAAAGTCTCAAAATTTCCAAAATATAAAAATATAAGTTGTAACCACAAACGTGATCTTTTAAAAAGAATGGCAAATGGTAATAAAGTAGTTTTGATATTGTTGTTGGTCCTTTGGAATGCTTGATCAACAAGAAATTACATGAAATGTTCAGTATTAATTATTTTCTAAAATCTCTTTGAAGTCATGATTAATATAAGATATTACACTTGTGACTAGATTTTCTACTTCATTTAAAACTTTATATTTGTGTCAAAAAAGAAATTTCACAGCACTCAATATTAAATGGAATTGAAGATCCTTTCCATCACATAATAGAGAATATTGTGACAGTATGTTTCAGAATTTAACCGACATGTTTGCTGTACAATATCTGAATCATTTGAAAGATTTCATTTTATTTTGACCTAATGATATTAGTACAAGCTATAATATCAGTTCACACACAACATCAAAGTATAGGATATTTGAATCTGCTTTGAATTTGTAGTTCTGATAAAGTTCTCATCAATGATACAAGTATCTAAAGCACTACTCTGCTTTGCTTCCCTTCCAACACCTGTAATGTTATGTTTCCAGAATGTCTTTACCAGTATAGATATAGACAAACTCACCCAGACTGATGCTTCCTTTTAATAGTTGTTTCCAACTCTTTGCCCTGACTGATATCCACATCACAGCCCACTGGTCTAGGCCTATCCTGGTCGATTGCTGATGGATATAAGTCGTCTCTAACACTGGGACTGGTTGTCCACTGCCTATCCTTGTCATTCTCTGGTTGGCGGCTGTCTCTGTTCCTTGGATACTTTGATGGTTTGTTGATGACTAGATTGTCTTCATGGTAATCATCATTTCCTCTCACTCCTTGCCATGACATTGAATCATCTTGATCAGCCATCATTAACCTACTCTCTAGAGTTTGTACCTTGTTAAGCATCCTAGATAAATTTGTAGGTGTGTTCATTGGAACCTGACACAACATATCAGCATCACCGACATCAAGCACTTCTCTGCATTTCACTTCGGGGCCATCACTATCTTCCTCTTGACACAAGGACAAATGCTGGTCAACAGAATACTGCTGACCAATTAAGTGGCCCCCAGACTGTTTGGACCCATTCTGATTTTTAGAGTATTTTTCAGATGAGATATACTGTTGTTCTGTGTTTTTGTTTGATGTTTTTCTGTGCTGTTCTCCACCAGTAACGTTTACAGGCATTGTTTTTGACTCGAAAACTGATTTCTGTGAAACATTTTCTGAAGGTGTCGGTCCCACTCCTGCATCAACATATTTCTTACTAGATTCACTGGGAATAGCAGAATCAGTTTCAGAACCAGATGCCAAACGGATAGGGTTTAAATCTAAATCATCCTCATTAATTACTCTTTGATGTTTCAAAATATCAGACTCTGCAGTCAAAGCATCTCCATCATAAGGAGTTTCAGCAACAGGAGAAACTGCACTATTGAGTTTGTCCACTTCAAAGTTTTTGTCATCTCTCTTTTGTTTGAAATTCTGTTGCTGGATTCTTTCTACACAGCTAACATTCATCATTTTCTTTTTTGGTTTAGAATTACTGCTATCCTTTTGGTAGCCCTCTTCAATTTTGAAAGCTTCTGAATCTTCAGACTTCACAACTTTATCCATCGCTGTCCCAGTTTCTGTCATTTCACTCCCTTGCCTATACCCTGAGTTGAGACTTGTGGCCTTCACTGATTTTTCTTTGCCTGGCATCATTTTGACCTGCTGAGTTTGTTGCATCTTTTCTGAATAAGATGACAGGGCTAAGATTTTTTCAATATCCAACTGGGTCTCACTCATTTTGTCCTCATTAGGTAAATCGTTCCTCAGTTTTCTGCTCCTGTGTGAGGACCTATCCTGGACATTGGGATAATCTTTAACGGCCTCATCCTCAGGTGTTACAAATAGCACTTCATCATTTGATAATTTCTTTGCAGCTGCTTTGGTCTCTTTCCTTTTCTTTCTGTCAGCCTTTTTCTTTCTCTGCTCCTCTTGAGAGAGCTGCTCGTTACTAACTTCATCTAAGTAAGTTGATGCTGTTTCTCCAAGTTTCAAATGACTCTCATAGTAATCGGGATTCTCATTATCATTGCTGCAATCTAAAACATTGTCATTTGTACTTTTGCTCTCATGGCTTCTGTTTGATGTGTCTCTGTGATGTACAGATTGATTTATGGGAACAGAGTACTTCCCAATCACTTCACCTGACTTCACACAATCTTCATTCTTCACCTCATCCTCAATTAAGATCTTCTGTTTCATATTTGTTTTCTCTGTCACATCATCCCTAGCTGCTGCTGGATTTCTCTTTTTCTTCTTTTTTGTCTGCGTTTTTGTGGAACTGTTAGTCCCCTCCTGACAATCTAATGAGTGAATGTCCCCATTTCTTTTCATTTTTTCCCAGCTTTGAAGTTTATCTTCGTAGATGACAACACTTTCACTACCTTCGTGTGTGGGTGGGTTTGTCAAGTCTCTTTCTGCTTGCAGTCTGATGATCGCCTGTTGTCTATATTCTTGTGGTCCATCTGGCCTGTATAGGAATTCCTCTTGTTTCCCGTAATCCTGTGGAAGGGTTTGGTTTATATTACTTACTGCTGAATCTTTCTGAGGTCTTTCCTTCTTTTTTGACCTTTTTTTATGTCCCTCTCCTTGAGGCAGGTTTTCTGGTTCTTTGTTATAACCTTCAGCTGCCATCCTCATTTCTTTTCTCTTCTTCCTGTCAGCTCGTCGCCTAGCTTTCTCTAATTCCTGCCTGTCGCTATCAACAACATTGACTTCAGACATATTCTTTCCCTTCTCACATCTTTCATCACCAAGTAAGATTTTCTCATTGGTTCCTGGATCCGTTGAAATGTCCACTCTACAAGATTGCTTGGCACATACGTTATCAGAAAGAGTATCATTGTCTAAAGCAGAGCTGTTGTCCTCTTGTTTGGTGCAATGCTCCCATTCAACCAGTATATTGGTATGTTGGTTATTTGCTGAACACTCAGGCAAAGGTACACCTGTTTTCCATTTGTCATTGTCTGGATTCATGGCATTGCTTGGCATATCATTAGGATCCTCCGATGTCACCATTGTGGATGCCTGATGGGGAGAGATTGTTTTCTTTCCATCCTTCCCAGGTATTGGTATGTGGGATAGAGAAACAGGTGTCTCCCCTTCAATGAAAATATTGCCTGGTGTGGCAGGTCTCCTGGATTTGCAATCATCACCCACCTGGAGTCCCTCTAATGGATGGTCTGAAAGTGACTGCACCATCTCTTGACTTGAAGTATCCACTCTACCGCCAGGACTTGGGTACACTCGAACATTGGTTTGGAACTGAACAGATTTAATTTCTGTTTTGTTCTCCATCTTCATAGTTTCAGTATCACCTGTTTTCTCCAAAAAACTATCCATAGGTGACACGCTATTTGCTGTCGAGGACATCAAACTTGATTGCTCTCTTTCTTTTGCATCTAAAAGGAATATATATTTAATTCACACCTTGTCAGAACATGTATTCTTCATAGAGAGTTTTGCCTGAATAACTTTAACATCCTCATCATCATGTATTTTAAAATAATACAGTTCTGAAGGAAGATAAATATCAACAAGAATCTTAGACTTTTAAAATTCAGCATCAAACTTTGCTGAGTACTAAATACCATTATTCTTATGCAGAGGGATGAGATGATCAAATATTTTTTCCATAATTTCTACATAACAATATTTCATATTGTCATTACACTCATCAGCCATATTGTAAAGTGTTTAAGTATTATAAGTTTTTTCCCTCTAATCATGGTGGCAGATAACCACAGAAACAGCTTATAGTATACTTTACAGCACCCACATCTGACTGATTATGCCCTGAGGATACTTAAACCATAGAATAAGACCAGGTGTATTATGTAATCTCAAGCCTCATTGATAGCTCCTACGCTTATTGGTGTGCTGGACCCTTATTATGGTAAAGAATTTACCCACTTTTAGTTTAAGTAGACAAATACACACCATACAAACTATGTCTGTTAATTGTTTTATACCCTGATCTATATCAACCATACAGAATGTGTGTGTTGTGTTGGACCCTGATCTATATCAACCATACAGAATGTGTGTGTAGTGTTGGACCCTGATCTATATCAACCATACAGAATGCGTGTGTTGTGTTGGACCCTGATCTATATCAACCATACAGAATGTGTGTGTTGTGTTGGACCCTCATCTATATCAACCATACAGAATGTGTGTGTTGTGTTGGACCCTCATCTATATCAACCATACAGAATGCGTGTGTTGTGTTGGACCCTGATCTATATCAACCATACAGAATGCGTGTGTTGTGTTGGACCCTAATCTATATCAATCATACAGAATGTGTGTGTAGTGTTGGACCCTGATCTATATCAACCATACAGAATGTGTGTGTAGTGTTGGACCCTGATCTATATCAACCATACAGAATGTGTGTGTTGTGTTGGACCCTAATCTATATCAACCATACAGAATGTGTGTGTTGTGTTGGACCCTCATCTATACCAACCATACAGAATGGGTGTGTTGTGTTGGACCCTACAGAATCTATATCAACCATACAGAATGTGTGTGTTGTGTTGGACCCTACAGAATGTGTGTGTTGTGTTCTATATATCAACCATACAGAATGTGTGTGTTGTGTTGGACCCTGATCTATATCAACCATACAGAATGTGTGTGTAGTGTTGGACCCTGATCTATATCAACCATACAGAATGTGTGTGTTGTGTTGGACCCTAATCTATATCAACCATACAGAATGTGTGTGTTGTGTTGGACCCTAATCTATATCAACCATACAGAATGCGTGTGTTGTGTTGGACCCTAATCTATATCAACCATACAGAATGTGTGTGTTGTGTTGGACCCTGATCTATATCAACCATACAGAATGCATGTGTTGTGTTGGACCCTGATCTATATCAACCATACAGAATGTATGTGTAGTGTTGGACCCTGATCTATATCAACCATACAGAATGTGTGTGTTGTGTTGGACCCTACAGAATGTGTGTGTTGTCTATATCAACCATACAGAATGTGTGTGTTGTGTTGGACCCTCATCTATATCAACCATACAGAATGTGTGTGTTGTGTTGGACCCTATCTATATCAACCATACAGAATGTGTGTGTTGTGTTGGACCCGTGTGTTGTGTTGGATCTATATCAACCATACAGAATGTGTGTGTTGTGTTGGACCCTCATCTATATCAACCATACAGAATGTGTGTGTTGTGTTGGACCCTAATCTATATCAACCATACAGAATGTGTGTGTTGTGTTGGACCCAAATCTATATCAACCATACAGAAGAATCTATACCCACCATAGAGAATGCGTGTGTTGTGTTGGACCCTGATCTATATCAACCATACAGAATGTGTGTGTTGTGTTGGACCCTCATCTATACCCACCATACAGAATGCGTGTGTTGTGTTGGACCCTCATCTATATCAACCATACAGAATGTGTGTGTTGTGTTGGACCCTAATCTATATCAACCATACAGAATGTGTGTGTTGTGTTGGACCCTGATCTATATCAACCATACAGAATGTGTGTGTTGTGTTGGACCCTAATCTATATCAACCATACAGAATGTGTGTGTTGTGTTGGACCCTCATCTATACCCACCATAGAGAATGCGTGTGTTGTGTTGGACCCTGATCTATATCAACCATACAGAATGTGTGTGTTGTGTTGGACCCTCATCTATATCAACCATACAGAATGTGTGTGTTGTGTTGGACCCTGATCTATATCAACCATACAGAATGTGTGTGTTGTGTTGGACCCTCATCTATACCCACCATACAGAATGCGTGTGTTGTGTTGGACCCTGATCTATATCAACCATACAGAATGTGTGTGTTGTGTTGGACCCTAATCTAAATCATCCATACAGAATGTGTGTGTTGTGTTGGACCCTGATCTATATCAACCATACAGAATGTGTGTGTTGTGTTGGACCCTCATCTATACCCACCATACAGAATGTGTGTGTTGTGTTGGACCCTGATCTATATCAACCATACAGAATGTGTGTGTTGTGTTGGACCCTCATCTATACCCACCATACAGAATGTGTGTGTTGTGTTGGACCCTAATCAACCATATATCACCCACCATACAGAATGTGTGTGTTGTGTTGGACCCTCATCTATATCAACCATACAGAATGCGTGTGTTGTGTTGGACCCTCATCTATATCAACCATACAGAATGTGTGTGTTGTGTTGGACCCTAATCTATATCAACCATACAGAATGTGTGTGTTGTGTTGGACCCTGATCTATATCAACCATACAGAATGCGTGTGTTGTGTTGGACCCTAATCTATATCAACCATACAGAATGTGTGTGTTGTGTTGGACCCTGATCTATATCAACCATACAGAATGCGTGTGTTGTGTTGGACCCTCATCTATATCAACCATACAGAATGCGTGTGTTGTGTTGGACCCTCATCTATATCAACCATACAGAATGTGTGTGTTGTGTTGGACTCTCATCTATATCAACCATACAGAATGCGTGTGTTGTGTTGGACCCTAATCTATATCAACCATACAGAATGTGTGTGTTGTGTTGGACCCTAATCTATATCAACCATACAGAATGCGTGTGTTGTGTTGGACCCTAATCTATATCAACCATACAGAATGTGTGTGTTGTGTTGGACCCTAATCTATATCAACCATACAGAATGTGTGTGTTGTGTTGGACCCTGATCTATATCAACCATACAAAATATGTCTGTTAATTGTGTTGGACCCTGATCTATATCCAACATATCATGTTGTTTTGTACCCTGGTTATATCTGTAAGAAAAGAAATACATGCCATACAAAATACAACACTTACTCTCATTCCTACAGTATCCTCTGCTGACGTCCATATTTGCTGATTCCACTTTTTCTTCATATTGATGGTTAATCTGTCAATAATGAAATGACAACCAAGTTGTATTTAATTTGTCAATCAAAGTAATTTTAATACACTATAGTATCTTTGCTACTTGATTATGTTTGGTGTCTGTTTGGACACTTAATATCGTTGAATAGATTCATATAACCAGGACAAAGGGAATAACTATACCTGATGGTCAACAATAGTTTCCTCCAGGAGTTCAGAAGACAGGCTAGCAATATCAAACATATTGCTGATTGAGGAGTATTGTGATGACGACTTTGCAGCCGTTGGTGACATATTCTCATTTTCAGGCTCTGGTGACTGACTGCTGTCTCTTGAAGAACAACTCAAGGATTGTTTTACTACAAAAGGCAAGAATGAAATCCTGTTGTCTAGTTGACTACGCTGCAGTACAAGATATTAGATACATATATATAAAGTTTGTGATATTATCAGTATATATAGAGATAACATGGCCAGTTTCTTATGATATAAGCTGTATTTTGACGAGGGTAAAGAGAGATAAAAAAATCAGACTATCAAAAGTTCAACACTTTGTTGGTTAATCTTTGTTTACTTGACACTGACATGTCAAATAATTGCCCAGCATGGTGATATAGTCCCAAACTTAAAAATTTTTCATGAATAGATTTGTCCATTACAGCATTCAAAATGGCTTATTTGAAAAGTTTTTTTTTTATTTTGAAACTTAATATCTAAGTAAATTCAGAGAGGAATTTTGTCAAACTAATGCACAAGCTAAAATACTGCTGGTTTAAATCACAGCCAAATGCTGCAAAATATATATGTGGCAGGTGTATTCCAACAATGGCAGTGCCAGTCACAAAATAATAATTATTTTTGAGATCTTGCAGGGAACTGTGACATTGATAGATATGACCTGGTTCCATGAAAACAGGAAAAATTTGGAAAATTCCATCACAGCAACTGGAACTGCTTGCCCACAAATAACAGTAATAGTGTTGTGTGTGACAATGGACGAATGTGGTATTGTTGATGGAAATATTATTGTGATTGGAAATGGTACTGTGGCTGGGTGTGGCATTGTGGATGGATATGGCATTGCAGGTGGAAATGGTATTGTGGATGGAAGTGGTATTGTGGGTGGTATTGCGGATAGAAGTGATATTGTGGATGGTATTGTGAATAGAAGTGGTATTGTGGGTGGTATTGAAGATAGAAGTGATATTGTGGGTGGTATTGTGAATAGAAGTGGTATTGTGGGTGGTATTGCGGATAGAAGTGGTATTGTGGGTGGTATTGCGAATAGAAGTGGTATTGTGGGTGGTATTGTGGATAGAAGTGGTATTGTGGGTGGTATTGAGGATAGAAGTGGTATTGTTTGTGGTTTTGTGGATAGAAGTGGTATTGTGGATAGAAGTGCAAGGCTCTCACACCCCATTTTGGGACTGGGGCCCAGGGCCTGGGGCCCTTAGAATTGGGAAAAATAATGGTGTTTTCCATAGAATTGGGAAAACTTCGGGTCTAAATTGGGGAAAAAAGATACTATTTTGCATTGGGAATTCGGCCCCAAATCTGGCAGATCGAGAGCCCTGAAGTGATATTGTGGGTGGTATGGTGGATAGAAGTGGTATTGTGGATTGAAATGTTATTGTGGATGGTAATGGTGTTATGGTTAGAAGTGCTAGTTCCCCATTGAGTACATCGCAACAAGAAGATAGAAGATGCTTTCCTACATGCGAAGCTTTCAACTGAGGCAATATACCTGCGAAATATCATGGATGCGAGTGGTATTGTGGATATGATGGATGGCTGTGGTAATAGGAGCGGAAGTAGTGCTGTGGTTGGTAGTGGTATTGTAAATGGTAGTGGTAATTAGAATGTGACTGTCAGTGGTATTACATGTGGTAGTTTCTTTGGTATCGTGAGAAGTAGCTTGGTATTGTATAAGGTTGTGAGACTAGTATTGTGTCTAAATGGTAGTGTTAGTATATATGATTGGTCTAGTATTGTGAATGGTGTTGGAACTGTGAATGGTATTGGGACTTGGGCTTAGGGGTACTGATATTGTTGGTGGTAGTGGGACCTTTGTTCGGGACTAGTTATGGTAAGTAAGGGTAGAAAGAATAGTCCAAGTTTACCTCTTTCCCATATTATTTGTTGATGCCATCAATACATATTTGCAAAATATTCTAGAAATATATATATAAGATAAGTTGCTGTAAAAATTATCAAAACTGTCTTCACCATATCACAGAAATGATATCTTCAAGTACAACTTCAGGCTACTTGCACCTTCCCAAATATTTATCTTACCATTTAAACGATGGATTATTTTCTGTACACCTGCAGAAAAAGGTCGTGGAGAAGGAGCGATCTGAAAATAACCAGAACCAACATAGATTTCTGTATTGAATAATTCAAAAAACATAATCATAATTAACCTGGAAAAAAACCCCCAACATTTTATGGACATCAGGAAATCTATAATATTCTTTTCACTACAGTACAGACATGAGCTGTATTGATCATTCGATAAACTAATGCAACGTCATAATTTGTGATGGAAAATGTGACATAATAATTGACCATAATGATTTACTGTTTGCTTTACCTGTGTTCCTGAGGGTTCAGTATGTTCAGGTAATTCCATGATGATAGACAGAGAGCGATTTTCTGTAACAGACATACTAGATTGTCTGTTGGGATGAATTCTTTTTTTCCCTTTGCGAAAACGAGCTGATGAAAACAAAAACAAAAACTATAATCATATTTCAAAAATTTCAAAACAAGCATATGTACCACCTAATTCAAAATTTCTGAATTTCAGCTGCATGTACAACATCTTATAAATTTCTCATTCAAACCAACCCCAACAGTGAACAGGAATTTGATTAAAATGAAATCATCAACATCTTCTGCCTCACATTGAATTATACTTCATGGGGGAGAGGAAGGGGAGATTCATTGTGTGTATGCACACAAACTACCTTCTTTCATTTTCTATGCTTTTTACTTAAACAAATTGGATTTTGCTTGATCATGTTGTATCAGCTTTCTCAAAAAAAAATCCATGTACTACATTTATATGTGAAAATGATTTTTTCTTCTCATACTACAGAGGGATATTCTGATTTGTTTTTTCCTTCTTAAGGAAAAATAGTTCAGAAGCGCATTTATTCTACAAACATTACTCCTTCAAAAGGGGTGTAATTGCCTTACACCCATTATGTAATAGTGTCATAATCTGATAGAAAATTTAAGGAAATAATTTTTAAAGGTATCTGTTCATATTACTAACTGGCACAAATATTTAATTAATCTAGATAGTCAAATGCTCTGTATGACTTACACAGAATTCTGCGGAAGAAGATTCGAAGTCTAGTGGAAAACCCCAACCTTATCCTAACATGTCCTGAACTTGTGCTGCTTGAAGTTGAAGAGCTGGAAGAGGAATCCCCTGTTGATATTGTACCATCAGCTGAAATATAACGAAGTTAGAATTTTTAGATAAAATTATCAATATACATTAATCTATGGTAGGGAAGAACGTATATAAACTGGACAGCAATGCCTGTGAATACAGTGCAATATTGCGCTCTAAATCTCATCCTAATAACATATTTAATTTATTGAGAAATATGATTCACCGCTGGTGTCATGATGTTAATGTTTCAAAATAATTCTAACAACTCAAAGTAGCATATGCCATAAAAAGAGTGTTTTCACTTTTACATGCAATTCATCTACTATAGCGAAGTCTCTGATGCATGAAAAGATGGAAAGCTCTTCACAAAATCACTTTTTTTTTTCATTTTTCATAACTACACACTCAATTTGAATTTACTCAAGAAGGAGAAGGTCCATTTCTAACGGCATTTAAAAGTCTCAAATGCTTCAGGCAACTTCTCTACATAATCAGCATTATGAAGAAAATACTTACATCCACTACCACAGAGTCGAAACCTATTCCGTCTCTTCTTAATAGTCATTACACCTATTCAACCGCAACCCACGGTCGAAACCTCCCGTCTCCATGTTGGTTGCTACCGCCAATGTAACTTCAAAACGAGGCTTACCGGATGTCATAAACATAACAGATGTTGATTGGTCAAAACAACTGATACCAGATTACCCGCCTTAATTTTTCTACTCTCCGTGAGGGTTCGATTTGATGATGGTCCGGGGTTTTTTATTCTTTTTTTATTTGACAGTTAATATATAGATTAGAAGTATGATGTAGTATAATTCATAATGTGACTCTATTGAACCTAAATCTAAATTTGTATTGAAAGGTGCATCATTTGTGAAATCTTCGAGATAACAGGTGATGGACACTGTTGGTTTTAGATTTAAGATTTTGGCCCTTAGTAACCAGTGACAAATCCTAGAAGGACGAAACAACCGTATGATGTGTGTAGTTTGATTTATAATTTGGCTCTATTTATATATAATTCCAGTGTATTGAAAATGCTATTCAATTGTGTTTTGTGTACAATCTTTCTTGCGTAATTTTTTGTTTCGTCTTAACTCAGGAACATTTGAGTCATGTGACATCCGATTGTACCACATGTGCTTTTGTCCATTTAATAAAATAATACATTTTCATACGCCTAATATATTGAGAATAATGTCCTATCCATACTCTATATCCCTTATAGAAAAATTTCTTGCTCCAGTGACGCTAGGACCAGCGATCGTGAAGTCCTGAAACGGACGTTAAAAGTTTGATTGCATGTCACATCGCACGTGTTTATGCCTCATTATTTAAACGATAATAACGGTTGTATGACGACAGAACGGTGTTATTGCACTTCAGTTTTATGAGCATTTTGGTAGTCTTAAGATGTTTCATACATTTCCAGCTCCACATGACAGAGAAAAGGCTGTCTAATTTGAGACTAGATATCTAGTACCCGTGGTTGATTTAACCTGTGACATGTTATCGGGGTCTTGATTTCTAGTGTGCCTCCTTCAAACCCTCGTGATTCTTACGAAATCCATATATGTATATATATATATGTATATATATATATATATGTGTATTAGTTTCAATACTTTCTGATGATGTAACGTTGCTTGATGGTTCCCCTCTGTATACCTCGATCCACTACTAATGACATTTGTTTTTTATTTTGAACATCATAATCAATGTCATATTTCCATTACGAATTTGTTTATGGTGCATTTTCACACTGTACAGTCTTTATTATTCTGTCGTCCGTCACAAGAAACATGCGGTGTGTGGAATCAATATGACATCACTAAGCAGAGAATGGATACATGGTCAGAATAATAACTGTTTAGGACTTAAGAAATTCACGGAATGATTCCAGTCCCTCTTCTTCTTCTTCTTCTTCTTCTTCTTCTTCTTCTTCTTCTTCTTTCATTAGAAAACCTGTGTATACAACTTAAGGACATACAAAGATGAGTTAACTAGATGTCTAACACAATTACAGTCCTTATAACATGAACTGAGACAAGATACCAAATCACCAATTACTGGCTAGCGTTCGTTTAGAAAGGTGTTGTTTGGGTACAATTATAAAATATGTATATTAATCAAGTTGTATATAACTATACTACGACTATAACTCAATGTATGAGTAGGAGTATACTGGATTTTAATGGACAATAAGTTCATGTTTAAATCTCGCTGTTGCAGATTCGACCGGACAAGTATGTCTCCTCGAAGCGCCATCAACTTCCTTTGAACCTTTGCCATTACAACGACCCTACCCAACAGATGCATATATATTGACGTAGTCAATTAGCGTTAACGTATAATGAACTAAATGACCTTTGATTAGTAGTGATTATAGTTCCTTTAGTTTACTAAACATCTTATGATAAAAAAGTAAAATAAAATTTTAAAACATAATGATAAGATAAAATAGTTATGCAGTTTTAAAGAAAGAATATCAATTCCAAATGTCCGTATATTAATCTTCTTTAGTAAGTTCGAACCCTTAAAATTATTTGTACTATAAATCATCGGACTGCAATTTTTTTCGTTAGATACGATTACCGAGTCTATTTTGACAGAAAATATACACGTCATTATAACATAAATAAGTTTATTGTACATTTCTCGTATGGTCGTTGCGAAATTTCTCTGTCGATTTTGTAATGTGTTTAAAGAATTTCAAATTTTCTTCACTCTTGTGATGAAGTCTCCCTGTCAACACCATCTTTTGACGAAACCGGAAGTTTTTAATCTTCTTTGGAACTGATGGGATAGATTCCATCGGTGGCTTCCGGATAATTGGTTTAATTGCCTCCTTTTCCTCCAGAGAGTCACCTGTAGCTACTGTAAGAATGAAAATAAAGTGGTATAGTATCAAATCTTCAATTCTAAATCCTATGTACCACTTTGATTTGATGTGTATTTTTTGCAGTCTAAATAGAAACAAAAAAACTTTTAAAAGTGAGGAGATCATAGATATTTTTCATAAAAAAACGCTTTAAACATATTATGATATTTGTTTATATTTCAAGTGACTTGCAACTATTCAAGATAAGCATATTGTCGCGCAACTCCATACTGTTGTACTTAAAATCCTAATATGATATATCTGAAATTGGCCCTGAAATGTTTCCAATGCTTAGCACACATTGAAATCGGAACAATCCGATCGACCTTAAATCAATACGAACGTATAATTCCTTTTGTTATGGAATAAAAATTATAATATAAACAAGATTATATATGTATGTATATATACAACAAAAAGTTTTGGTTTTAGAACAGAATGAATTAACTATATCATTAATTGGACTTTGCTGAAAGGACCAATCACCGAAGTACACATTGCAGTATAAGTAGTCTCTGCTATATCCATAGTGGTGAATACGTATTTCTGTATGAAACACCTGTCCAATGACTTTGATGTCTTACCTGTTATACTGGCAGTGGATGTGGGAACCCTGTGTGGAATAAGGACCTTCGCGGCTATGGCGACGGTTTCCCTCTGTGGGCTACAGACTATTGGGAGTTTTTTCTTGTTTACAGGGAATTGGCTCGGGACAAGTTTTTCCATTGGCTTTGGGACAGAAAGCTGAATATTTTTGCTAGTATCAGAGATGTTTTCTTCTTGTGAGGTCTTTTCCTCAACAGAGCTGATGATCTCTACAACACTCTTGGTTTGCTGGTGATGATTTTCAGTATCCTGAGGTACTTCATCGGCAGTCGCATTTGAAATAGTACTATCTGCGGTCAGATCTCCTGCAGAAGTTTCACTTTCTTTATAAATTCTAGAACGACTTTCGTCCAATCTTGTATCAAATTTTTGCGTAGATTTTGAATTCTCATTTCCATCCTGAATAGTTGGTTCAGAGCCGTGTATATACTGTAGACCTGTTGTACTGCTTTGGGACACAAGTACAGGAGCGCCGCTTCCCACAGTCATATTGTGGGCTTTGCTCGTTAGCCGAGACGGAAAGTTTGCTCTTCGTTGATTTATTGCCAGGGTTAAAAACGTGCTTGAATTTATAGATCCACTCATGTTCGTATTAGTTGCATTTAAGTCTAATGCGCTTTGTACTGGAGATGGATCTTGCCAGCCGATTTCATCGATTTCATCTTCATTTGGTTTGTCAGATGACTTTCTTACGTCAAGGTTTTCATTTTCCACAATTTCATCACGTAGCTTTTGAAAATCGTGTTCATTATCGACTGATGTTACTATATAATTTTCGCTACTGATATTTGAGTATCTTGGATAACTTAACTGTTGACTGTGTGAGGGTTCTCCCTGATCGTCATCCGTTCTGCAACCAGACGCAACATTTAAATTTAAATTTGTTCCATTCGTTTTTCTAAAGGAAGACATAGCTCTTTTATTCTTTCTTCTTTTGGAAGCTAGACTTACACGTGGATAATCAGTGTTTTTTGAAAATGGTAACATTTTACTGTCACTGTCGTTATTTCCAGGTATTTTCTTTTCCAACTGCTGCCGCCGTTTAGGATCAGTTGACGATCCATAATGAACTTTGTTTGCAGGTCTCGAAGTCTCGGCCGTTTCACTTCTTCCCCGAAAGTGAGGTATTGCATGACGTGGACTCTGTTTGCTTGCCGAAAAATGAACATCCTCTGGATATTTGTTTGTATGATTTTCATCACGTGTTACTATGTTATCGCCCGTCACCTTTATCATGGTATTATTTCCTGTCTTTTTTACTGCAGTGGTTTCGGTGTCTGTATGTATTCCACCATTGTTATTTTCCATATTCACACCAACTTCCTCCGTGGGGAAAGAATTCCCGTTTTCATATTGCATATTGAGTTCAGAGCTTCTGTGTTCATAGCGGAGACCAGTTGTGTTTCCTTGGGAGGCAAGTACAGGAGGACCGATTCCCGCTGTTGAGTTGTGGGCTTTGCTCCTTAGCCGGGAGGGAAACAATGCTCGTCGTTCACTTATTGCTGTGTTAAAAAACGTGCTTGAATATTTAGATCCACTCATATTCTTAATTGGCTCTTTATCGTCCATGATGTTTTGTAATCGCGATAAATCTTGGGATGAGTCTTGTTCATACCCTCCGTCGATTCCTCGTCTATCTAATATGTCAGATGATTGTTCCATATTCAAACGTTTATTTTCTGCATCTTGATGATTTGGCATGAGAGAATTGTGCTCATTATCCACAGCGGTGGCTATAGGTGTACTACTGATACGTGGGTAGCTTTGCTGCCCCAAATGTTGACTTTGTGAATATGATCCCTGAACAGTATCCTGGTGTTCACCTGGTATAACTGCCGCACTAGCAGTTCTGTTCGTTAAGCTTGAAGAAGGAAGTTTTTCTCTTTTAACCATTATTTTCTGAGAAGCTGAATGAATGCGTGGCGATTCAATGGTGTTTGAAATTTGTGATATTTTACTATCTAGGCCGGTACTTTTCGTGTCTCTGTTTTCCATCCGCTGCTGAGGTTTGTATTCTGACGATGATCCTTCCTGGACTCTGTTTGTTGGGCTAAAAGAATCAGCCTTTTGGC